TAATAGTACGGCTTTCCCTAAACTCAATTTCAAAACATAAAAGAATTTAAACCTCCTTTGAGCTAGGTCTAGCCACCTTTTGTAATTAGGACACCTACAACATGTACATCATCCTTATTTTTTGATTCCCTGCTTGTCATCTCGATAAATCTCATTAATCCTCTAATTTGGTGGTCATCAATGCCAAAACCCACAATAGGACTTGATTGCACTTACATAATGTTAACATGGTTTTTGTAAATCCAAACTAAATAAGTGGTGGAAGAAAAGTGATTGTCAAGTAGTTAGGGGAAGGTGGAAAAAATTAGAAGAAATTTTGGCTCTTTAAGTATCTCTTCTCTTATCTTCTTGTCTTCTCTATCTCTATTCTACACCTAAAAAGGCTCTATTCTATCTACACCTAAGTCTAAACATCATCTACCAGGTGATAAAAAAAGTGCATGATCACACGTCCATGTCCGACACGATCATCCCCCACTCGGAGCTCACGTGTCTGCATCCTATCCGGTTTTCGTACGAATCATCCCCCACTCAGAGCTCACGCGTCCGCGTCCTATCCGGTTTCGATACGAAGACCGAATCTACGTATCCGTGTCCAATACAAAGTTCTTGGAGCTAATGCGTTCACATCCCATTACTGTGGTTCAGTAAAAAATCGTGACCCCCGTGCAACGCACGGGCATATATCTAGTAAACATAAAACAAATAGTAATGTTGTGGGTAAGACGTCTAATCGTCCGAACACCCATGTTGGTGGGCCTCGCCCACCCGAACGACCCATTATCAAGGGCACGGTCGCTCGCGTTGCTGAAACAATAAAAAATCTCCACTCACTTCCTCTCGAGTCGTCGTGGCCACACCCATTCTTGAATCGTCGCCACGCCCGCACTCCGCCTCACTTCCACAGCCTTTCCCCGCCGCTCGCTCCCTCCCACGACGCACTCGCCCGCCTATGACGCTGGCTCCCCATTCCAAGGCCGTGCTCCATCCTGCGCCGCGCGCCTCATCTCCTCCCCCACCCACACACGCTACCATGTTCGTCCCCCCACCCGTCATAGCCCGGGCGACTGACTCCGATGGGGTACGTGCCGTTGGCGGTGGCGAGGGTGCTAGAGGAGCCCATGACATCGGTGGTGGCCTGGGAGACAGCGCTCCTCGCGGGCCCCTCTGGGCGGCGGACCTCCTCGGCCCCCTGCTCGGTTGGGCCTCGCGGTTCACCACCACAGCACCTCCGCCAGGGCGGCATCCATCCGCTCCCTGTCCTCCTCGTCGATCTACCTCAGTTCACCACCAGGTAGGTCATGGCCGGCAGCGATGCTATGTTTCAAGTGTTTCTGGATGTTTTTCTAACATGTTGTAAACCTATGTTTCAAGTGTTTCAATTATTTTCATGTGGATGTTGTAAAAGTAGATCGCGATGTTGCAATGGTTGTACATGTATGTTGCAAGCATATATCCCTAATGTTTCATCTGTGTCTTGTACACGTAAGTTGCAAGTGTTTCAGACGCATGTCTCAAGTGTTTCATCTGTGTTCTTTTTTATGTTGAAAGTGTTGCATCTGAATGTTTTAAAAGTAGATCGAGATGTTGCACATGTTGCAATGGTGTTTCAACTATATGTCATAAATGTTTCATCTGTTTTAGACGTATGTTGCAAAAATTTCATCTGAATGTTGCAAAAGTAGATCTGATGTTTGAATGTTGTAGTTGGATATTACAAAAGTAGGAATGTTATTTGAATGTTCTAGTTGGACCTACCTGTCTAGCCACCTGCTTTTGTAGCTTCTGGGCCAGAGGGGCGCGAGCGGCAGGCGCGGGAAACAAGAACGGACGCAGATTGAGACGTGGCCCCACGTGGGCACGCGCATGCGTGGGAAATGGGACGACGTGGGCCCTCACGTGAAGTTGACGCAGCCGTGCGAGCGGGCGTGTGGGCTGGTACACCATAAAGATCTAAGTGGATCAAAGGCCCAGCTCAATTACTGGGCCACGTTAGCCTCGCTCGCTCGAGTCGGCGGCCCCGTTGGATCCATTCAATCCAACACGCGGGTTCATCCAGTTCCGGACCCGGATCAGATCTACCGTGCCTGACACACCACGCACAAGCTTAGAAAAATGAGAAACCGAGCCGAGTCGACCGTTGCTCCGCAGAAGCCGTTGCGCCGGCACGCCGCTTCAAATTTCGAACCCCTCGTCGGGCCACCGTATAACACCGATCCCAACCCACGAAACCCACCCCACCAGCCAACCAACCAGCAGCCGACGAGCCCATGGACGACAGGAGGGAGATGGATCCGGCGGCGGGGGCGCCCAGGAGGGCGGCCACCGCCAGCGGGACGCCCACCGTGTCGCACGGCTCCAGCATGCCTTCCTCGTGCTCCTCCAACTCCAACACGTCCGCTTCCGCCTCCGCCTCCGCCTCCGCTTCCACGGGGACGCCGCCGTCCGCCGTCGTGCAGTGGGCGGCGCGCGCGGGCGTGGGGGACAGCTGCTACTACCCCGGCTGCCGCAAGGACGCCAACTGCGCCTGCGAGATATGCCTCGCTAGCATCGACGCCACGCGGGACCTGGTGCGCGCGCCCGAGGCGGCCTCCGCGCGCAGGTTCTTCGCCGCCGCCGCCGCCTCCAGGGACCGGAGACCAGCGCTCTTATTCCGCGACCTCGCCGCGGGGGCGGGGTCGGATTCCACCGAGCCGCCGTGGACGCCGCCGATGCGGTCCACGGCCAAATCCAGGCAGGCGCCGGGGCGGGAGCCGGCCAGGGCTTCCGCGGCGAGGGGCGGCGGTTGGTCGCACGACTGGCCGCTGTACGCGGCCACGGTTCTTGGGTTCTTGCTCCTGCTGTGGGTGGACACGGGGCTCGTCCCGGAGGCCGCGGCCAGGGGGTTCGGGTCCAAGCTGTCGCCGGAAGCCGTGGCGCTGGTGGGGGCCGATGCGCGCTTCGCGCCTGGCGGCCTGGAACATAAGCTGCGCGTCCTGGAGCGCAGGGTCCGCCATCTTGTCGGCGGTGAAGGGGTCGCCAATTGCAGCTCGCGAGACTCCGTCTGGAGATTCCACCAGGTTCGCCATTCTTGCGGTTCTTGTCCTTCCTCATTCGTTCTTGATTAGGGCGTACAGATATTCATCAACGTTTTTTTTTTCAATCTGTCTGTGCAGAATGATCAGCAGGTGTTCCACTGGCGCTGCACGATGTACAAATCCGTGGCGGAGGAGGTCACCGTCTGGGGGAGCCCTCTCCGCACCTCCGGCCTCCTCCCAAGAGCGCTCTCGGCGCGGCACCTCACCCTCCTCTCCGGCGAGATCACCGAGGTAACTAACCGCCAAGAACCTGCCCCCTTGTTTTGCCGTAACTAAGCACCACCAGCTCGCTGAACTCCCCCCCTGCGTGTCTCTTTTGCGTGCAGTGGTCCGACGGGAGGGTGTGGCCGACGGTGCGGGCGAGCAACAGCAACTCCTGGGCCCACCGGCGGCAGAGCGCGACGGCGGTGCGGCTGGAGCCGGAGACGTGGGTGCTGGAGTACCAGAGGAGCGCGCTGTTCGAGGGCACACGCCTGCTACCGGCCGCCGCGGAGCTGATCGCGTCCAGGTGCTCGACGATGGCGCGGCGCAGACTGCAGGGTAGGCGGCGGCTTTTCGGTGGTGCGCAGGCGAATCCGACCTGAATCGGGCTGGCCGGAGATCAAATTGCTCTCTAGGATGGCTTCTAACTAGCACTAGTAGGTTCATCTCATTTCCTGTGAGATTGATCATGACTTGTTCCTTTTCATGGTTGCAGCGAAATGTAGGCGGTCGCTGGAATTATTTTAATCTTGTTATTATTATTAGGATCATAAACAAAATATTGTGATTATCAGATGTTCTTGGGCCACAAAGTTATGGCACAACAGCGTTTCGTGCAGGGGGTCTAGGTTTCCCCCACGTCTTGCAGAATGGAATCATTTCCTGTTAAGTTTTTGTTCGTGCGCCTATCATCTGTGTTGAACCAGAGTTCTGGCAGAGCAAATAACACCCCTGTGCGATTCTCCCTAGTCCCACCCCTGTGCGATTCTCCCTAGTCCCACCCCTGTGCGATTCTCCCTAGTCCCCCCACCCCTGTGCGATTCTCCCTAGTCCTTCAGGAATTAAATCGTTCCTGTCAAAGTGTCTAGCTTGTGTCCAGTCCCCAGGTAGCATAAATAATCGAATTTGTTAACCATTCGTCTAGCTTTTTCAGTCCCAGTTAGCAGGAATAATCGAATTTGTTAACTATTCGTCTGGGTTACTGCACGATCACAATGTTTCCACTGACGTCCTAACCACAAAAAACTGCACGATCGAAATTGGTGGGGTGGTTCGGCAGCAAGCTGTTTCTGCTGCTGTAGCGGCCTGCTGCTGCACCTACGGTGTTTTGCAGAGGAAAAAAGAGCAGCTGCAGCAACAGCTGCTGCCTTTAGCTCAAGCTAACACCCAAAATGTTTCTATTGACAATTTCTATTAACAATTCACACATTCCATAATCCAACAATTCCAAACATCACTAAGGCTCCTTTGGATTGGGGGATTTTTTTTCATGTTTCCTACGTTTTTCCTGTGAAATTCCTGTATAATTCCTATGAAATTCATACATTCTAAAAGAGAGCTTAAATCATAAGTATCCAGCTCAGGCATTTGCTCTGAGGAAGTATTGCAGCAACCTGTTAATGCACATTTTACAAAAACCTATATGGTTGACAAAACACAGGTTAGACAAGTCTAACATAATTATCGCCTGAATCCACAGCAGATTATATGGTTCAGATTCGGTCCATTTAGAATGTCACATTTAACGACTTTTAATACAAGCAGGTCCATAGAAAACCTGCGCATCTACAGCACTTACTGGTTAAGTCCAAACCAGACTTATGGGTAACCCGTTGGTAGGATGTACAACCCATACAACTACAACAGCTACAACAGCACAGCCACGTTTGATTCTATGGTAAACTACCGATAGCTAAGTTCCAATAAAGTCTGATATTAGAACTACTTATCAGCAGGTAACCCAAACAGCTCCTTGATGACGCTTTGTGGTGCTTTCGCAAATCCACCAGCAACTTTCAGCATGGACTTAAATTTCTCCTCCTCACGCTTGATTTGGTCCACATGGCGTAGAACATTAGCGAGCATTGCGCCATAATTTGAAGCATCAGACAAGGGCATGGGATCTGCAAGCTGAGCCCTTTCAATACCAAGCTGCCTGTACAGACAGAGGATGCGGTCTTTCTGAGCGTAAAGCTTCTGCTCTGCCAAGTTATATTCCATTTCCTGAGATTTCTTCAGTTCTTGAAGAGCAAGATCTATCTCATCCTCAAATTTGGCAGACGCAACATTCTGATCTCCAGTAATGAACACTGGAAGATTTTCTATATCCGTTTCAAAGTCATTATCACCCAGTGGATCTATCAGATCAGGATGCCCTGTAAGTGCACCCGCTTCAGGAACTTGCTGAGCCCCAAGCACAGTCACACCACTGGTAGGTGGGGAATTCTCTCCTGCATTACATATCAAGAAAATAACCCAATTATGAACAAAGAAGAAATTGAACAACATATCCCAACTTTATGTCATAACTTAAATTAATAGCAAATATTAGTCATTTCTACAGCACTGAGACTAGCATAGGCGTCAACCAAAGGGGCTATACATGGCAACTTCTAATAGGGGATCTACAGGACATTTTCAGACAGGTATGGCATATATGATCCCAAAGTTCTGTACCATCTATAGTTGAAATTTCTAAGAATTACATTAAACACCAAAGGCCAAAGTATCGCAACTAGCTGAGATTTTTGGACGGACATTAAGTCCTAGAAATGGCTGGGGCTAAATAGAGTTCAATCTTCCTACAGTTAGTTGCACTCCTAAAATAAGTTTACCTGCACTGAGTGTTGCCCTGCCCTCGTCACCTTCCAATTTCCAGACTTCAACAAGGTCAAATCCACATTCCAGCTGCATTAAGCAATAAACCATCAATCCATGACTTTAAATTATTAGGGTATTTTAGGACCAAAATGGACTGTGTGTGGTATCACCAGTTCATCAACAATCAAAGGAGCACTAAATTATGACAATAGGCAACATGCTATTAACAGATGATCAAATAGATCACAACATCAAAGTATACCTTTTCCACTGCTGATCTCATATGGTTCTCCAAGCTTCTTGCTCTCTTTTGTTTTGAGCCACGCAAGAGGCATAAGCCCAAATTCAGCATAGGTTCGATTTCATCCCTTGATTCAAGAGATTGGCACGTTTCCATGAGTTTCTCCACATGCGTCATTAAGTTGATTTTGTTATCACAGAGCCTGCATAAATATTGCACATCCAAGGCAAAACTCCCCAACAGTTCCAGCCATGTAACCCGAAGAGCACAATTAAGGTGTGCAGAATGTCCACATATTAAGTTCTCTTCCACAACTGCCTCACATTTTATGAAGCTGTAACCTCCAAAGAATAGTCAATGGTTTTGTTACAGAGAAGGCAGCAGCACTCACGACAGAAACCAGGCTCTTTGCAGCAGATATTACAAGCCCGTGCTGGTGATGATTCAACAAAACCTTCTCTTTCAAGATTGCACAAGCTATTCCTAGCCTTGCAGAGACCACCTGGATCAGCCACCACAGGTTCAGGTTCAGGTTCATTGCGCCTCACTTGCTGGGTGCCTGAAAATACTTAGGTATTAACGAGCAGCATAAAGGAAGCAATCTGAAAAAGAATAGCAGTAGCCATACAGAAACAACTGTGTACATGATGTATCTTGTGATCCATTAACCCCCACACCACGCGTGCACACAAACACAAATCACCATTCACCAGATGTAGGCCCTGTTTGCAACCGATTGTAATCGGATTCCTGGTCTCCCCACCGCGAGAATCGGGAAAATCCCACCAAACGCCTCGCGATGGCCGTGATTCTAGCGACCGCCTGTGAGAGGAAAAATCGGGAAATGAACTACACCGCCGATTTCCTGTATCGTGGCCTCGGAGCCACGGATGGGATACCGCACCGCGCAGTCGCAGATCGCAGTTCCAAACAGGGCCGTAACATCAAGCAATTTCTAGTCTAGATGTACGAAGGGAAAAAAAATAGAAAATCAGATCAGATATTTCATTACAGGCAAAATGTGATCTCCTGTGCTGGGGAAGGAGATAGCGCCACTTCACTTCGGAGCGCGGTACTAGGTAGAAGGGCGTCATCGGCAGCAAGAGTTGGTCGGAAGCAGCGGGTGGAAGGATTGGCGGCTAGGGTTTGAGGATTGGGAGATGTAAGGGAAGGCTCTCTAGACCAACCATATATAGAGTACAAGGTCACTGGAATGTTGTATGGGCTTAAAACTTATACATGCAAAAAAAAAAGTGTCGAAAACGTGCAAGACATGGAGAATACAGGATGGGCCCAAAACTTATACAATGACAGGGGCCCAAACAAGCCCATATCTAAAAACGATTTAAATATCAAAATACTTCCCATATAAGATGTGAACACAGAAAGCTTTCTGAACAGACCAAAGTCAGACATGATTTTAAATAAAAATGTTGCAAGGACACTAAATTGTATCCACCAATAAAGGTAATTGTAAAAGGAGATTCCATTCGCAACAACTGCAGATGTGGAAAGGGTGAGAGAATAGCGGTATCGCAAAGAAACGTTATACTACATGACTGTGTGGCCACTTCCTCATAAACTTTATTATTTACCACGCACAATTGGATATGCAACCCCTGCTTTTTATCTTCGTAAAATCAAATGCTCAACTTGGCAAAATGGGTCACCTTGCTTGGGGAATTGAGTTATATGGTCAGGGAGGAACTACAGTTAAGAATACAAGGGTATGCTTCAAAAGGACCATGTCATGTTGTACAGTTAAAAAGATATTTTTTAACTGCAGATGCGTAAGGTGGAGTTATGGTGAATTGGTGATGTATTAGGTGCAGCACAGTAGCTACAGTTGTAGGAAGACGAAGTTCACTAAGACGTACATATACACCTACAAACATAAGATCTAACATACTAAGGCCACTACAACAAATGAAAGTAGTGGAAGGTCCATGGGCATATTCAGAAAGCAGTCTTACATATTAACTGGTGCTAGAAAAATCAGATACAAGATCCAACATACCTACACACCCTTTACTATACCTAATATTGCGCAGATGTATAAAGAAATAATCATGAAACAATTGGCTTCCAAAGAAGTGTCCGCAGGTGCTGCAATAAACCCCACAACTGTACATGCTCACTAAAACAGCTATTTATAACAGCTTTCAGAACCTCAATGAACTACTATCTAAAGCACTAATTACATGACAACTGAACAACATAAAAATGCAACAGAAAGGTTTAACCTTTTTGGGTCCTGTATCCTTCAGCAGGGATCTTCCAGATAAACATAGAAAAGAATGTGCTAGGATCGACATCCGGAAATTCTCTCTTAACAAATTCTTCAACTTGTACTCTACTTGCAAATCCTAACTTCTTAGGAGTAGCGTCACGAAAACGGGATGGCGGCGTAAGATACCTGTTCACAGTTGGATCCATCCAAATAGTCAACAGCAGACACAAACTTTTTTTTTGTGGCACAATCAATATAGAACGAATAAATTGACCGCAAATCTTAGCTTGTCCTAATGCAAAAATAAGGAATTGATGCATTCTATTCATTTTTACTCTTTACATAGTGCTACTTAAATTTGTAGTTAATAAGCCCTGCTTCCTAAGCAATTCCTAGATAACTATGCTAGTTAATTACAGTCATTAAAGACCTTGGGCAGCCCAAGAGGTGTGTACGGCTGCCAAGGCACCTATCTGATTAGCTATGCTCTAGTGAGCTGTTTGTAATCAATGCAATGTCTATCTCTATATATAATCAAGGAGACAGCCTGGGGTGTGTGGCTATTCAGGCTAATCAAGTCTGTGTTACCTCCAACAAAATTCATATCAAACATATCCGGACATGATAGGAGCATCACCTGTCAGCCCAATGGCCTGCTCCAGAAGCCCTGCTTCCAACTTTCCAGTGCCACATGTCTCCAGAGCGTGGCCAATTTTCAGGAGCATAGGGCAAACCTTTACCGTATGAATTGGCACGAACAGGTATGGCAACAATGCCATTATCAGTTCTGCACGATTCTGACAAATCAAGTTCCACATTTGTTATTATCTCATCAGGGATCTGGACAAAGAAAGAGTCTCAATCAGAGCAAGGTAAAAATTGCACTAAATTCAGCCAACATGGTGATACTTTTTTTTGATAATGGAAGAAAACATCCGGCTTCATCCCCACAAGTGAGGAATCAGGCCAAAATTATTACAGGACACAAATGCTTAAAATGAAACAGCCTCATACAACAAATAAACCCATGATATCAATATCTCGCTAGAAAATCCTACACGTATAATACCAGTCTGGATAAAAGGAAACTTATCTCAGTCACCAAGTGAACCCTAACAGCGCGTTTTGTTCAAGGAACCATCTAGTGCGGAATGAGTTGATCCCTCATGGATTCACCTTAGCAAGGATTGGACAGACTTTTGATTTGAAGTGGTCGTCCGTTGATTTCCGAGGAGCCGGATGGTCACAGAAATTGACATGTTTACCAGCTTATGAGGGATTAGTCGGTGATGGATGGGTCTATTAGGTGATGCAAACCAAACAGAATGGCTAGCTTAGGTTTTTGGATTCTGGACCATGCAGTGACGCAAACCAAACACACTTTAAACTCATTTCAGTCACCAAATGAACCCTAATTCATTTCAGTCACCAAGTGTAACTACAATGGTTCATAATGGTCTTTCCAAAGCTACTGTATTCGAGAAAAAAAATATCTTTTCACAAATTACAGAAGCATTCAATCAATCCTTCATTGGTTGAGCGAATGAAATCAACAGAACAATTAATATATAGAATATATCAATGAAATTGTTAACGGAAAATTTTGCAAGATAACAACAGGTGACATATAGGTAGTGGTTAATATAACTTATCTGTTTGAACAGAACTAGTGTTTACAGTAAAACTAGCGATAATGCATGCATCAACAAATTGTAAGCATCATAAAAGGGTATCTAACTTACCACTAATAGCCGTGCTACCTTTTATGTATATAAAAGACACAAACCATCCAAAATAAGTAGTGCATAAAAGTGAACTAGACAAGTTGTCATGTACAAAATAGTAAGCGCTTTGTTATGTACCAGTACCGCGATGGTGCAAGAACAGATACATGATGTTATTATAAGTCTACATGCTTTGGTCTTCAGACAAGCATCCAGTGAGCAAAAGGACTTGCTTCGACATTTGGCTCATAGCGAACCTTGTTGCAAATAAAGTAAGCCAAGTGTGGCAAAACTGTATGGTCTGACATAACAACACAGTTGTAGCATACTTGATAAAAAAACTCAGTTTGTAGCAAGTGAATCATCAGGTTAAGGAAGCATGGCGGGCCATTATTTTGATAATCAAGTAAACATTTGCCAAAGAAAGCATAGCACGTCAAAATTTACAGGTGGCAAAACTAGGCATCCTGGATCAATATTACCAAAGCATTTTCCTTGCTCAGCCAGTGAGAACAAGTAAAATAAACTTTATGAATTATAATTCATAAAGTCCAAATATCGATACCTCAATTTTGTCCACCTTCTTATCTGAACTTTCGGCAACAGCTGACTCCTTGCCATTTAATGGAGTACGATGAAGTCTCTCCTTTGGTGGTTCTGTTCGCGCCTTTTTCTTCGCGGTACCTTTTGAATTCTCGACATCTGGACGTTTCTCCCTATCCTTACCAAATAGCACCATTAACCTATCATAATGGTCAATCGTCTTCATCATCCATTTCTTTGCTTCCGGTTTTCTCTACAAAACAAAGCAGATGATTTATAGTGGGTCAGGGGCTTTCAATGTCTTTCTCCTCTTGAACAGATAAGTCAACGTCTATTCTTGACTGACTGATAGCACACACGAACCTCGATCAATTCCCTCCAAACATTTGGATCGGCATTGAATTTTCGGGTCTCTGAGCACCACCTAAACCGAGTATCTTCACCAAGGAGGTTCCTACACTCATGGAACGATTCCTTGATATACTTTAGGCGATTTTTTATATTGTTCCGGTCAATTGCCACCCCGAACTTATCACCGACACCATTGATGATGCTATCATATGCCACCGTTGAGAATTTGGACTCACCCCTGTTCCCAATGTCTTGCTGGTAAAGCAGCGAATCAATAAGATATGCGTTCATTTCTCCCGACCAGAAAACCGCGTCCCGGCCTGAAGCATGGCCGGGTTTATTGGGGGACATGGGGATTCCGTTGAACCTAAAATTCTTTAATAAACTTCACAGGAGCCTTTGAGCTCCGGCTGTGCTGATCCTACCCGAGGAAGAAAACCCTGACCAAATCACAGATAAATCGACTGATTAGTAGAGAGTGAGCGGGCACACAAATCCACAACTAACCGGATGGAGAATTCAGAACCAACTCGTCCCCGGAGCAATCCGCCCAGCTAAACCTACGATTACTCACCAGTTAAAGAGGAAATCGCCCTATCGCCGGATTAACCAACATTCCACTCCAGAGCCGAGGGAGAATCCGGATTTGATTGACTGAGGAGCGGCCGGTGGAGGACCAGCCGGAGACAACGGTGGTGCTCGGCGTCGGCGGACTTGGGGGCGACCGGGCGAGACTCCGGAGCGTCAGTTGTTGTTTGGTAGGGCCCTACTGCCTACGTTCTAAGTGTTTTTCTCTCACAGGAAAACAGGCTTGTAAGCCACGGGATCAAACGAACAGGCGAAAAGGGACGGCGATGCGCCGATGACCGATGAAGGCCTGCCTATTCACCGTGTGTCCGCGTAGGCGAGAAAAAGCTTCTGTCCTTTTTCTTGTTTTTCTTCCTCGCGCACGGCCCAATAGGCCAATAGGTCGCCTTTTTCTTCCACGCAAAAAAAAAATCTGATTTATCTCATTCAAACTACCCCCTAATCTAAATTTCCTCCTTCATCAACGATAAAACCAGGTCCCCTCAAAAAAAAATCAACGATAAAACCAGATGAAAATCGTACAAATAACCAGCTACCTCGTTTATTTAGAAGTGGTTTTTTCTTTAACATGGTGTGAATATGTAAGTGGTTTTGCCATGTGTTGATAAGGAAGTGATGTCCGATCATTTTTTTTCTTTTATTTGTTGGTTGGTTGCAATGTCATATCTTTGTCAATGTGGCTATATCGCAAGAGCGTTGACATGTTAACACCACGTCAGAGAAAAAAGACTTCTAAATAAGGTAGAGGTTTATGCGGTTTCAATAGTTCAAGAAACTATATTTGCTTTTGCTAATGAAGAGGAAACTCATACCAGGGCTATAGTTGATGGGGTAAATAGAACTTCTTTCTCTAATTTCTCTTCATGGTTGCGCTTGCACTTTTTCTCGATGTTGGTACAACCGCTCTTCGTTGCAAAGCATGAATAAGAAGGATTGATAGTTGATCAGAAAAATCACATTTATTGATCCGACCATTTGGCAATTACAATAAATGCATTCTATATAAAATTTTGATAAAATATGATTACAACATGAGCCCTATAGACACAGATTTCCATTTTCAATTTCATCCATACGGCCAAGTTTACTTTTTTTTGTTAGGTTCCTCTTACCTATTTTGTGGCTCCATCTGTTTGTGCTGGTATGATTGAATTTTGTTTGTGGAACAATTGGTAACATGTCCACAACAAAATCATTTTCCATCATTTTCATTGATGGAACAATTGATGACATTGCTCAGAGCAAATCAATTTTCGTTTATGAAATGTTTGATGATATTACTTGGAAAAATCCACTTTTGAATGGGGTGCTTCATCAGAGGAGCTTGTCGGCATTGGAAGTGACACCGGCAACCAAGGAGCAGTGTAGTGATGGTTGCTACTAACTTGTCCTTGCTATATGAGTCTAGTGGAACTCTTCTTCACACGTTTATGGGCTCTTACTATAAAGGTTCATGCTGCTTAAACGGTACATAGCATGTCTTGAGTGTGATGTTCGTTAAGAAGAATAGTTTTTAAAAATTCATTTTTAATTTGTTTTCTAAAAGGAATTGTCTGAAAAAATGCAAAAAACATACTCCTCCCCATTAAAACAGTTAGGTTTAGTTTCTCCAACTTGATTGGTGGGATTTCTATTTCACCATTTGAATTGACGTAATTTACCATTTATGCACATCCCATAAAAGTCATAATTTTGTCATATGAACTCGGATAGAAATAAAATTATATAAAAAACATACACTATATTTATCATACACATTAGTGACTCATGTTACTCTGATGGTGTAAGTTTAAGTCATCTGTATTTTTGTATATTGTGATTGGTGGATGCTCTGGTTCAACCAAAGCAACATATATAGTTGATACAAGGACCTAAGTAATTAACTCTATTAAAATGTCAACCTTTTGTTGTGGTCGTGATGTAAATAGATGACACTAAAGGTTCGTTTGGCATACCTTTAGCTCCAACATTCATGCTAGATCTACAATTTATAGGTTGAAATAAAGTGGTTTAAATATTTATATATTTAATCTATTAAACAAGACGAGTTACATGAACTTGACATGCTTCCCGTTCAAGATCTATGATTTCCTGGAACTACAAATACCCATATAAAAAAAAATGTACAAATGGAGCTCCACCAAATATGGTTTTAAGTCCATATATTATGGTGTGCACATAACATCGAATATATGTGGATGAGGGTAGATTTGTCTGCGAGCAACTTTAAAATAGCATGGTGAGTATTTGTGGACTCGCGACAATCCTCTTGCATATTATCAAATATGAACGGCCAAATGAGTAGTAGAACAAGTCATAAAAAATATAGAGCTAACGATCTTAAGATTATGGGGACATTTAAGGTCCTATTTGAATCCATTAGCTGCTAATAGTTAACTAGTTAATTGCTCATAGCTCGTAGCTAACTGTTAGCTACTATTAGCTAATTTGGTTGAGCTAGGAAGATATTTGTTAGTTGGTATTAGATAACAATTAGCTAAATCATTAGCTAGACCTGTTTAAATCTAAAGGAGCTAATTATTACTAACCCCTGCAAAAAAAACTCTCTTCGTTCTAAATTATAAGCCGTTTTGATATTTTTATATCAATTTTGCTATATATCTAGATATAACATATATCTAAATACATAGCAAAATCTAAATAAAAAAATAAAATGACTTATAATTTAGAACTAAGGGAGTAGCTATTAGCTGCATGGACCCAAATAGAACGTGGGTTTTTTATTGACCCGTTGAGGTTGAAGGGTGCTTGTTTCCTTTTGTATTTTTTTAAACAAAATTCTTTGCATTATGTACCACTACGTTTATATTTTATATTTTCATTATCGAGGCAATACGTTTATATTTTATATTTTCATTATCGAGGCAATAATCGAGACAAATATAACGTACAGAACGAATAAAAAGCGAGAAAAGACTAAAATCCACAAATTTGACATGAAAACGCAGCAGTTTGTACATTGGACACGTCGTGGCAAGTTATTCAGACCAATGGCGTGCCGCCACGTTCACAGAGAGCCTGCGTGGACAGGCCACGGGAGCACCACCGTACCACCTTTCGCGCATCAAGTACCACCATCGTACAATCAACGGCTTGGATAAGCCAACGTGGCAACCAAAATAAAACAAATAAAAAAAGTTCTCCTCGTAATTAAGATGCTCAGAAGAGAACCCAAAAGAGCAGCTCGCCGGCTCCGCCGAATGGCAACTTCCCCAAACCCCACGACGACTCACCGAGCCGGCGCCCAGTGACCTTTCCAGAAGCTTCCAGAAGGTCACCGCCATGGCCGCGCCCTTCTTTTCCACTCCCTTCCAGCCCTACGTCTACCAGGTCCGCGCTCCTGCCCTCCCCTGGACGATCTGTCCTTTTTTCTCGAGTGATGATGGCCTCATCTCCGCGTAGGATGTTAGGGTTGGATTTGAGCTCGCGGGCTGGATCCATCCGATCCGCTGCTCATGGGCTCCGATTGTGTTTGCCTCGTCTGATTCGGTTTGAACTGTGTGGGATGGTTTCAGAGCCAGCAAGGATCTGTGACGGCGTTTCAGATATCCGGTGGAGATGTGCAGGTCCTGCAGGTAGTTTCTGGTGCTCAAATCTGTTCTGCACACTTGTAGTTCCTTTCTTCACATGAATTGAACGTAATCACTTGGAATTGTTGCGGGCAAATGATTTTTATTAGGTGATGCTGAAGTCTCAGGAGAAGCTGACTGCAAAACCAGGTAACTGGATTCAGTCCTTATGCTCTGCAGCTTGCCTGCTCAACTAAGTATCTTTGTTTGTGACCTTCAGCTGAACTAAACCTAGTAAATAGGGTGCTAACTAGTCATTATGTGGCAGAAATAGACCAGTTGTATTTTTTTTTATATCTTCGTACAAAAGTATGCAGCTCTAGTGTCTACTTTTCCTTTTGGCAGTAAACCCTGCCTGTAACTCACAACGGATTAACCTTCTGGTAGGTAGTTACTGATAATGATAACCTTCTGGTCGGTAGTTACTGAGAACTATCTGTTACATACTTTCATATATATTGTGTAACAAAAAATTGTGTCATATAGGCATATAGGCATATAGCCCTAGAAATTGTTAGCATGTGAATAGCGATTATTTCATCAGTCATCATTGTTGTTTTCTTTAGGTACAATGTGCTACATGTCTGGGAACATGCAGATGGACAACAATTACTTGCCTGAAAATGATGGAGGCGTGTGGCAGTGGATTTTTGGGAAAAGTGTAAGCAGCACCGTTTTCTTTAATTCTGGATCTGATGATGGATATGTTGGGATTGCTGCACCATTTCCTGGGAGGATACTGCCGGTTAGTATTTTGCTTCTCTTCTATGTTTTGACTTTTCTCTTAGTATCACCTTTTCTTTCTTGTGCAATGTAGCTATGAGCTGCTACCCCTACCTTGCTCCCCTGCCTAACAATGCGATAATTTTATAATGTGAAATAAATCTGTTATGTGGCCAGTTGGGATGGAGATGAGAGGGCGTGCTACAGTACCGTGGAGCTACAGTGTCCGCGGGTACTGTTCACGGCGGCGGCGGCTAGGGCTGCAAGGGCGCTGGGGGAGGCCGGCCGCGGGGCTTCGCCCACGGTCGGCAAGAGAGAAGGGATTTCTTTCTAATCTCTTGCTTGATTAGATTGATACATCTCCTCTCATTATATAGAGAGGTCTGACTTGGCCCCTAAGCAAGCGACTAATTAACTCTAATGGGCTAAGGCCCAATAGGCCCTTGACTCCTCTAATAAAATCACTATTGTCCTCTTATGCTAACAAATTCAAGACTGTATTTGTTAGCTACTTAGCTGTTGATTTTGGTGATTCCTCTACAACTTTGAAATTGTGATCTTTTATATGTCAGGTGAGAATTTGTTAATCCTCTTGTTGAATTTTAACCATCCACTTGAATACATTTTTTCATTAGATTAGACACCAACCTTTGCTAACCTAACTGTATGATCGTATACATATGATTACAAAGTGTTAAGAATACATCACAGTTTGCCATTTAGCTACCTCTTACCAGATTTATGTGAAGCATGCCTGCAGCTATGGAATGTGCTCAGTATTAGAGGCATTGGCATTATAATTGTGCATTGATATAGTACTTGAATTGTATCTTAGTCTGATCGTAGTTTCTTGCGTCTGTTACAGGTAGATCTAGCAAACTTTGGTGGAGAACTTCTTTGCCAGGTTAGTTTCTGTCTCAATTTGTTTGAAAATCAAGAGAACTTTGCTTGAAAATTAAGAGAACTTGATATGCTTAATTATTATCGCAGGCAGATGCTTTTCTATGTTCGGTCAATGATGTGTCAGTCTCTAGTACAGTTGAGCCAAGACCACGGAATATTGAGATTGGTGCAGAGGTTGGTTAACTTTGTTGAATTATATTATTAGTTTGGATATTGGTGCTTTGGATATGATGGGATCTGTACCGTTTTTGTTGTTTTATCAATGGTTTCTTGCTAAGTTGCATTCTGGAATTTGAAGCTCTACAAATTTTTGTTCCCAGGTGATCCTTAAACAAAAGCTTAGGGGCCAGGGGATGGCTTTTCTTGTTGGCGGTGGATCAGGTACAGACTGTTTTGCACTTGTCACATAGTGAGATATATCAGTATATGAGAATGCAATGCCATCTACAATGTAGCAATGTGAATTGGATGGATGCAAAGTATTAGGCTTAAAAGATGAGCTTCATTGCTGTAAATGGTTTAGGCGTTTAGGATACACTGAAAGATATATGATTTGTAGTGCAACATTAGGTTGGCACATTATGCATTAACAGATACAGATGTTGTTAACAAGGTAAACACTTACAGTGATATATAATTTAGTTTATGTGTACATCATTAGGTAACTACAATAATTTAAATATAGCAAACCGGCCACTCGGTACCTCAGTTTGTTTTCCATGAACAAGACATGATCTCATATCATTCTTTTCATTTAGCTGGTTATTCTTGACTGGTAACATGTGATGGGATGTGACTAGGATATTTTGCTATTCAATTTTCAGTCATGCAGAAAATCCTTGCTCCCCGAGAGGTTATTACTGTTGATGCTGCTTGTATTGTGGCTATGACAACCACCATTAACTTCCAGTTGAAGAACCCTAACCAGCTTAGAAGAGCAGTCTTTGGGGTCAGTATCATTCCTTCATGTTTCCTTGTTATTTGTTCATGCTCTCAATCCCTAAGAAACATTCTCATGCAGGGTGATAACCAGCTAACAGCATCTCTCACGGGACCAGGTGTTGTTTTCATTCAGAGTCTGCCATTCCATCGACTCTCACAGCGCATCGCCAGGTATGATAAAGCCATGTATCTGTTGCATTGTTCTTACTTGCCGCTGAGCGTGCATGACAGAAAGTTTATTCTTGTATTATCAAGCAGTAGATCAGTGGCGGGCCCAAGTTTGAGGGACAACCCAAAGTTCTTCATCCAGATTGTCATGTTCTTCTTCCTGGCCTATGTCATGATTGTATCATCCATAATTCTGACAGATGTTTAGGCGATTCAGCGAGCTTTTGATGTATTCCTAGACAAGTTATCGGAGAGTTAAAGCTCCCCAATGTTAATGTAGATGTAAGAGAAGGAATTTCACGAGCTGTTGTTAGAAACCTTAGCTGAAAGTTCTTCAATTTTTTTAACGTTTGAAGGGAGACCGGGTTTCTTGGTTAGCGTGTAAAGAGTAAGACAGCAAAATCAAGTTGCACAGCATATGGTGAATATACAGCGACTTATCCTCCTCTAAACTGGTGCTCTGCGTTTTTAATAATTGAATCGGTGATTTGGTTGGAGCAGTTGTGTGCTCTTCATCAGTCATGTACTCATGTTGAATGTGATGTATCATATCGAGATTTGCCATTCGCCAATGCAGGCGACATGCTTGCCTGTTTGTTTTATTGAAATTTAGCTTATGTTGATGCTTATGTTGATTTGTTATGAGAGGAAAATACTGTTCGTTCGCTTTCCTTCGAGCTGCTCTACCCTCGGACGCTGCCGCCTGACTACGGCGACGAGGGCGGGGTGTGGTCGTGGCGGGAGCTCCCGAGTCGCCCTTCAAGCGCGAGCACGTAGCGCCTCCTACAGTGCTACGCCGTGCATCCCGATGGGCATACCATCTTCGTCAGGCGTCAGCAGCGAGAACACCACCTTCACATAATCGCCTTGGACACGGCGGAGTGCGCGTTGAAGCACGGCGGTGGCTGGAAGCGGCACGGCGAGTAGTCCGCCGCCATTCTCTTTCCCATTGTCTTATGTTACGGCCTTCTTCTTCCTCCGTTCCTTGCTGCCATAAGTCAAGAACCCATTCGACCACGGTTTACTGGTGATCCCCAGCCGTGAATCTCCGTCCGCCCATAGCCTCGTGGCTCGTGCCCTCGTCCAGACGTCCCAGCAAACTTGAGCGGCAGAGGGCCGAGCTCAAGACTCCAGTATGGAGATGCAGCAGCACGAGCTGGCGAGCTTTGGACCTGCAGTTACCGGTGTTCTCATCATCCTCAGCATGAGCTGCGCAAGCGGGCTGATCTACATGCTGCAAGATGTGGCTGCAAGTGAGCAGCAGCAGCACTGCAGCAGATGAAGAGTCGAGAGGTACATGTAGCGGTTCTCGGAGAAGCGAGATGCAGAGTGCGTCGGGAAAAAATACAGGAGAAAGTAGGAATTCCCCGATGAAATACGGGATCCGACCTGTTCTCGATCCCCTTTTTGCCGAATTTTTCCTCGTTCCTGTTTCACGTAGGCGCTGAAACGGAGACACAATTTACAGAACTTGATTCGCAACGTTTTTATTGATATACACTGCGGACACAGTGTCATTCGCGTATTTTTACAAGTAGTAGTTCTGCAAGCGGACGTGGTTTTGCACGCAGGTTTCTCGTAGTAAGTAATAGCAACTACACGCGCTACTGCGCAGCACGCAGGCTTCTCGTGGCACGCTTCCACTGTTCCTGTGTTCCACATGGGATAAGGCCACGACCTATGGCCTTGGGCGCTCCTGGTTGAGCCGGGCCGCTGTAGTCACCGCGTCCGCCACGCCGCCCGGCGTGGTCGTCATGTCCAGCTTGTTCCGTATCTCCGCGGACACCACCCTCTCGACGTCCTCCCGCGTCGCCCCCTTGTCCGCCGGCAGCCTCTCCCTCGCGTTCTGCACGTACATACGGCCATGCAACTCACGGTCACCACTGACAGTCCAAAACACTTCGCCTACAAAAGCAGAGTAGCGATCGCACGCACCGAGAGGACGTTCCGGAGCTTGACCTTGTCCTCGTCGCGCAAGGCGAGGGCGTTCTGATCAGCCGCTGACTGCGCCGCCGCGGCCACCCCTCCGGGGATGGTGGCGTGGGACCCCGTGGCGCACGTCTCCGCGACCTGGATGGCCGCCGCGTCGCTCTGGTCGACCGTCCTGTCCCCCTCCATCGCGACCACGGCCTCCAGCGCGCGGCCGATCGTGACGGCGTCCTTGTCCAGCGCGCCCGGCGGGTCCGTCATCGCCACCGGCGCCGGGGTCACCATCTTCGCCACCACCTGCCCGCCGATGGACTCGGTGACGACGCGGCGGCCCGCGAGCTCGGCCTCGATGACGGTGGCACCGGCGTCGGCGACGGGGCCCGTGATCTGGGCCTTGCCCACGTGGCCCGCGCTGGCGTTGACCGTCGCGGCGACTGTAGCACGGCGGCGGGCCCGCCCCTCTGCGTCCCGCCGAGCACGGACTGCTCCGCGGCCTGCAGCAGCGCGGCGTCCCTCGGAGCCACGCGCCGCTGGGCCAGCTCGCCTGACACGTCCAGCATGTCGCCGTACTTGACGGGCTGCTCCTGCGCGTGCTGCAGGTCCTCGGCCTGCTGCGGCCTCCTCGGCTGCCCCTGGCTCATGTCGATCTCTTTCTCCACCATGTTGCACCTACGTACGGCTGCTAGCTAGTGGGTTGCGTCGTGCTGAGACCGGCGTCTGCATGCGTCCGGTCGGGTTGGTGCGCAATATAAAAGGTTGGCCTCGTGCTAGAGCGGGGGTAGGGAGGCGCGAAGCGGAGACACCCAAGGGAGCCGGCGGGGCTACGTGTGGCGCGTGGAGCTGACTCCGTAGGCGCCGTGGCGTTTGGTTTGCGGGGGGGCGTTTTCCACGACTCGCCCGTAGTTCCCTCGCTCCGACAGGTGCCATCCACGCGGAACCTTGCGGAACGCTCGCGGTGGACGGGTGGAGGCATGCGCTCGAAAAGGTGCGCCCGGGGACCCTCGTCTCGTATCCGTGTCGCGGGCAGTACACTGCATAAGCGCAGCGCGGTGCGACGTTGCCGTTTTGGGCTTTTGGCCGGCCATTGGACCGACCTCATCATGTTTACCTCTCGGCGTACGCGCTACAGACTACTCCGTACATCGCAGCGTGTTGCGTTTGTGTCTGAGCAGTTTTGAATTGTGAACGTACTGTAGTTTTTACTCTATTATCGAGCAGAGTGAATACGTCATTATTTAGCAAAGCCGTGGTAGAATCATTGCGACAAATTTGTTGTGCAAGTTCTATGCATGGCAGCAAGAACCGAGAATATTTCTTATTTATTTTCCACGCCACGAGCATATAGCGCAACGATTAATTCAGTAACACTTCCATTCAAGCATCGAGGAAGTCCATGGACAGAGTTTGGACTATGATCAAGATTAATCCTGCGTAGCTGCTTAATCCGGAAAGGCCGTGGTGCCCAATTCAAGACGCGCGCTCGTGTTCAGATTGTGCTTCGCCGCCATGTCCAGCGCCGCGCTCACCCCACGGGGGTTCGTCTCCGCTCGGGGGTCGTTCGCCGCCTCCGCCTCTGCCGCCGCCGCAGCGACCTCGCTAGTCACCGCCTTGCCCGTCGGCAGCTTCATCGTCGCCTCCCACTGAAAAGACAGACACGACGTCGGCAGCACGCCACAAAAATTTCACAATCAACCGGCCCACACGCCTGGATCAGCCCGGCCGTGCGAAGGGCATGGTCAGTTGGTCACCAGCTTACCGTTAGCACGTCGGTCATGGTGACTCTGTCCTCGTCGCGCGCGGCGCGGGCGTTGGCCGCCGCCGCGACCTGCGCGCGCTCGGCGACCCCGCCCGGGATCGCCCCGCGCCCCGCATCGCCGCCGAGGGCGCTCGCCTCCGCGACGCGTATCGCCGCGGCGTCGGAGCGCTCCACGGGCTTGTCCCCGATGGCCCTGGCCGACCCCTCCAGCGCCTCTCCGATCTTGACGCTGGTGTCGAACGTCTCGTCGATCACGCCGTCGCCGCTGCCGCCGTGCGCCAGCTGCTCGGTTACCGACTCCGTGGCGCCCCTCGGGGCGACGCGCTCGGTGTGGAACACCCGGCCGGGGTTCTTCGGCTCAGGCTGCTCGGGGAGTTCCAAGCACTCTATCCTGCTGGGTCGGGCTTCCATCGCTGAAGGCCCGGGGTGATTTCGCTGGGTGTCGTCGGCGGTGGGCTGTGGCACCGCTTTTATGTTGTCGTATAGTAGGACGTAGCAGTTCATCGGTGAAGAAGGAATGACACGTGGAGACGTGGAGGGCAACATGTCTCATTCCGCGTGGCAGTAGTTTAGGGCGGCGGGCGCGCCGGGCGGCCACAACAAGAAAGAGAGTCTACTCTGTGTAATAGAATCACGTAGGATATACTACTCCGTGTAATACTACTCCGCAAAAAAGTGATTGGAGGTATAAAAAATTTGAAGTGATGATAATAAAGGGAAATCAAAAGTCAAAAGTTTCAGTGAAATGTAGGGAACAAACAAAATTTCTATTGACATATAGAGAATTGGCTCCTATTTGCTCGTCAGTTCGTGCATACTGATTGATGATTGACTTTGTTGACGTTGCTCAAGCAGATGCAAAAGGTACACAGAATTTCGATCATTTGTTCTCGTGGGCCGAAACTCTTGAGACTTTTGGCCCATAGAAGAAAGGTAAAAGAAAAGGGCCAGTTACTGTGTCGAAGGCGATGGTCATAGTTGTCGGCCCGGAAGCCAGAGTCCGGATCCGATGGCATACGTCGCCGCGTCGCAGAATACCGTGACGAGTCGGGTTCAATTCCGTATTTCCGACAGGAAGGCCAGGGCGGCTATATATATCTCGGCCCATATAACTCCGCACAATTCACCAGCCCGCTCCTAATCCACAGCCGACGCGTCGCATCACATCGATCTAGAGTGTTTGTCTCGCCGTTCTCGACGAGAGCGAAGGGCGAGATGTTATCTCTACGGAGGAAGGACGAGATGTGTGACGCGACGCGAGGCGAGATACTGGATTTAGGTTCTTTACCGAAGGTTAAATTGTAGTCGGTAAAGCCTTTATCGAGTGTGGCACTCGACAAAGAACACACGGCAAAAAATTGATCGACAAAGCTCTCTTTGTCGAGTGTTTTTTATCGGGCACTTGGCAAAGGCTTTGCCGAGAGCCTTGGGGGCACTCGACAAAGAAAAGCGACCGTTACGGCGCCGGCCCTGTTGACGGTCGCTTTGCCGAGTGCCAACCCTGCAGGCACTCGGCAAATATTTTTTTATTTTTTTTTAAAAAAATTATTTGCCGAGTGTCCTCTATCCGGTCCTCGGCAAAGATGTTTTATTTTTTTTTTCTAAAAATTCTTTACCGAGTGCCCCCTGGTCGACGCTCGGCAAAGTTTGATTTTTTTTTAAAAAAAATTCCTTGCCCAGTGCCCTCTGGCCGGCACTCGGCAAAGTTTGAATTTTTTTTTAAAAACATTATTTGCCGAGTACCATGGTCATGGCACTCGGCAAAGCTGGAAAAATAATTTTTCGAGCGCCCATTTTTCCAGCTTTGCCGAGTACTGTGACTAGGGCACTCGACAACAGGGTCCTTTGCCGAGTGCAACACTCGGCAAAGTAACCCAAAACGGCAATTTTTAATTTTTTTTACATTTCATCATGACAAATAAATTCATACAAACATATATCACATATATATCTCATCCATCACATATATATCTCATTCATCCACATATCCATCCGCACATATCACATCCATCACAATATATATCACATATATAATAATAAGTGCTCAAGTCCATCCAAATAAATCCACAAGTCCATCAAAGTCCATAAGTATATTACAAGTATATCACAAGTCCATCACCAAGTGAACAACAAATGAAAAAAATACAACGTGCACTCATCTCGGCCACTGCGACTGTGGTGAAGGCCTAGCTCCATTATTCGGAGGTGCATGAGGTGTATTATTCGAACCACCGTCAGATGGAGACTGCACAAAGAAGAAAATATTGCATATGAGACAAGATTTTTTAGATAGCTAATCTAGGAAGGTAGAGGCCATACAAGCAAAGCACAAGCGAAAGTAAAAAACTTTCATACTCACAGGAGTAGCTACAACTGCAGGACGTGAAGATGGAGGTCCTCGTCCGACTCATCCACGGGTGCCACCTCCTCCTCCAGCTCCTCCTCACACGGCGTGGGAGGAGACGGCCCCCTCCTGTGGCTGGCGGTCCTCCTCCACCTCCTATCCGATCCCTCCGCCGCCCCCTCCGCCTCCTCCTGCAGCCGGCGTGGTCTTTGATAAATCGAGTTCACGGACCTATGACGGTCGCCCACCATCTTTGTTCAATCACCTGCAATAAAAAAGAAAAACAAGACGTAATTAGAAATAGGTGCAAAAATGAACAAAACATAATTACAAAAAACATAATAATACATGTATTAGAAATATATGCAAAAATAAACAAAACATAGTTACAAAAAACATAGTATTGCATGTATTAGAAATAATCTTCATGATTGAGATTAGCTGGATCATAGGTCTCGTCATCACTATCAACATTGTCCAACTCATCAACACTATCCGAAGGAGGAATGTTGTCTTCATTGTCATTGCCTAAACATAATCGCTCAAGCATTTGTTTGTCCTTCAGATTTCACACCTCGTCTCCAGCGTCCTCGTCATCATCACTTTCATTGTCTACTTCCATTCCTATCTCTTCGGTTAAGTCTATGTCAAACCTTCTTTGTAGCCCCTCTTCTTGATAGAACTCTCCATCATATGTGTTTGGGTTGAAGTTGTAATTTTCATCGTTTGGGACAGGTGAAAGCATCTAGGCCCCTAGTTGGGTTTCGGTGATTAATGACAATACGTGATTACTATGACTAACGTGTGTTTTACAGAGGCAATTAAGTTAGGTCATGGTAATGGAGATCGATTGGGCAATCATGGTGGTCATGCCCCTACGATGGAAATCGTTTTGGTTTTCAAAGGATGGACGACAAGGTTAAGAATGGACTAGTTCTAAGTGTCGATTGGAGTTGAGGAGACACTTAGAGTAGTTTAGTACTTTGTTTTTCCTTTGATCATACTATTAAGGGGGGTATGGACGGGTAGCTTGACCTAGGTGAGTCTAGTGAGTTAGGTGTGGTGCATACTTGTTAAAACTAGCACTTGGTAGCTCCAAAATAGCCCTTAGATCCAATGGAGCAACCTTCATTCACGTATGATTGAGAGTTGGAAGTGAATGGAGGGTCAAATACTGATCGGAAGCTGGCGCAGAGTCCGGTCAGTTCATTTGACTAAGGTGAAATTGTCTGGCGCGACCGGACGCTGAGAGGTGAAGTGACCAGACGCTGAGAGCCAGCGTCCGGTCAACTCCAGTAAGGTTCCAGAGAGGGAAAATCATGACCGGACGCGTTCGGTCACACTTGAATCACTGGAGATCGGGGAGAACTGACCGGAGCATCCGGTCAACATGACCGGAGCGTCCGGTCACCCCACAGAGGCACATAACGGTTTGTTTTTCAGCCGATGTTATAAATATAACCTCCACTCGTGTGTGGGGGTACTTTTGCTCATTCTAACAGCTGTGAAACACCTTAGAGAGTGCCAAGAAGAGCAAGGTCCTTGTGAGGTGATTGAGATTTGAGAATCCCAAAGAGAGCCCTCATTAGTGAGATCAAGAGTAGCAAAGTGTGCATCCACCCTTCTCATTAGGCTTGTCATGGTCAAGTGAGAGTTCGTGCTTGTTACTCTTGGTGATCATCATCACCTAGACGATTTGGTGGTGATTGGGAGCTTGGTGATCATCCAGAGAGCTTGTGGATGACCCAACTCAAGTTATGAGCGGTTGTGGGTGATTCATCGCGACGAAATGTCGAAGAATCAACCCATAGAGAGCACTTGATCCTTGCGCGGATCAAGGGGGAGCTACACCCTTGCGCGGGTGCTCCAACGAGGACTAGTGGGGAGTGGTGACTCTCCGATACCTCGGCAAAACATCGCCGCGTTTCTCCTTCTTTATTTACTTTGAGCATTTACTTTGAGCAATTCAATTCTTGTCATTTAGATTCCTAGAATTGCCATGCTAGAGTAGGATTGGAACATAGTTTGTAAGTCTTTTGTGCGGTAGAACAATTAGAAACACTTTCTAGGCACAAGCGGTTAATTGGGCTAACCGTAGGATTTAATTATTGTAAAGAATTTTAGAATTAGCCCAATTCACCCCCCTCTTGGGCATCTTGATCCTTTTAATTGGTATCAGAGCCTCGTGCTCATATATTTAGGCTTAACCGCCTAGTGAAAGATGTTTCACGGGGATGGACCTCCTCCTATCTTTGAGGGATTGGAAAATCCGTATGGAGGCGTATCTAGAAGCTCTATATGTTGGAATACTTAGAGCCGCTTCACAAGGTTTCCCAAAACCTCGGGACGCCGCACACCCACAAGGCGATGAGTTGAATTACGAAAAATGGAATGCAAAGGCTAGAAACACCATATTTAGAGGCCTTTGTAAAGATGTGTTCAACTGGGTCAGGAACCACAAAGACGCCCATGCACTATGGTCGGACATTTGTGCGCTCCATGAGAGAACAAAGAGTGAGCGTGAGGAACGCTATCATCTTGTCATGAAAAAGCTCAACTCTTTTGAAATGCTTCCTAAAGAATGTGCTAATGAAATGTATTCACGTTTCAATGTTCTTATAGAGGAAGTCAATGAGCTTGGACTTACTCAAATGCAACCATCCGATGTTGTAAGAAAGATATTGAGTGTCCTCCCCATTGACAAATATAGGCATATTGTGACCGTGCTACATCAAGGTGATCTTTCCACCGCTACACCGACACAAATCTTGGGAAAGATCAATGCTCATGAGATGTATATGCACATCACACCTCAAGATGGCTCATCCTCTACAAAGAAGAAAGAAAAAGATTTATCATTCAAAGCTAGCCAAAAAAAGGGTAAAGCAAGGCTTGAGTATGAGAGCTCAAGTGATGATGAAGATGATGATGCAAGCCTTACTCTCATGGTGAAAAGAACCGCCAAGATGCTAAAGAAGCTCAACAAGAGTGGCATCAAGTTTGATGGTAAGAAGAAGAAGTTCTTCACAAGCTCTAGAAGGAAGTCAATCTCCGAGATGGATTGCTA